CTATAAGCCAAGCCTTTACTTAGTGCAGATTTATAACCAGAATAAATTTCTTTGGAAAGGACCAGTTTCTAGAATAATACAGAAGCCATTTTATAGCATTCAGTGCGGTAGCAGACATTATTCAAAAACATTACGCTACTTTTTTATAACAGTAGCTTAAATATATTTCCCAACAGATGTGTCCCATCATATCTGACAATCCTTGACCATAAAATGCGACATTATTTTCAAGCAGACAAAAGCGAAGCCCGAATTTTAAATTTCATAAAATCACTCTTTTCAGTTGGCCCTTTAAAAGCACTCGTAAAATAAAGCTTGATTCGCTTTCTGCATAGAAAGACCACTTTTGCATTAAGCCTTGTAAAAACTCCCCACACAATCAAGTATTTTCGCTATACAAATCGGTAAAAATATGTTCAGTCGTTTCCATAGTAATGCATGCGAAATAGCGGCCTTTAGATACACAAAGAAATAATGCCTGAAGCAACCTTAGATACTGTGTCAATCCCTTGCCATATCTTCAATACGTTCTGCTATAAGTAAATAATATTAAGTGAACCCCTTGACCGAAAGAGCTTCCTGACCAACATTGCACTTAAGTGCAGTGACCCGCCTCAACTTTTATTCCCAAAGTCTGTTTTTATGCAAAAATGTAGAATCAATTTAGGCAATGTCCTTTAATTTTGATATTTTGCAGTGATACTAACTGAACACCCAGGAACAGCACCAAAACCTAAACTGATTGAAGCAACTGTTACGAACATTAATGCCCTCAAGTCAAACCCCAATTAAAGTATACAGAGGTAAAGAATGTAAAAAACAACATGTAAAATACTCAAGGGCAACAGAAGTTGACTCGATAGAATTAAATAATTTTACATAAAGCTATTGTAGAAGCGGTATTTACTGAATTCTATAGCAGCCGATTAATGTTAGGCGCAACATTTAAGAATAACAATGAAACTATTACGTAAGCAAAAAGGGAGACATGCGGACTCACTTCTGTATGTTATTTATTAACCATTTAGAAATTACGATAAAACTGTTCAGCTGATCCTCAGGTAAGGTATTTGAACTGATTTACTATGATATCTTTATCAAAAGTGAATATTTACAGGAAAATATCAGATTCTATTGGTTTGATATTCCTATGAGGTCCTGAACTGGAAAAAAAACACCAGAAATGTTAAAAGCATCTGCTAATGTGGAGCGAACGTAACAAGGAAGGCAAACTTTGGAAAAAGATGCATTAGTCTTACTAAAAACCTTCATATTCTGTGTTAGTTTGGATTTATGACTAATTCTCGAACAGTCAGATGTGCTTAGCTACATTTAAGGGCTCCGTTTCCCCTCCTAACGTTGACTTTAATATCTGGCAATGTTTTCGTAGTCTCCTAAGACTTTTTATATTGTCTTGTAAATAAATTTTTAAGCGTATTTATTTGCCAGAGCTCGCTCTATGTGGATGAAGTAATAGGTTTAACTGAGTTATGCAAGGATATATTTTCCACAGAATTTCTGTCAAAACCTTTACTTGAGTGGTACAAACCCTGAAAAGTAAATGTGTGTTACTTTATTTACAAATGCCATTTTTTACGTGTATTTTTCTCCGTAAAAATAAAACTTCTTGGACTGTGAGCCGATTAATTTGCATACATTTTGCACTTTCCAATTCTTATTTACAATCCTTGTGCCCATGGCGAAAATAATGTGATGGTACGATAGCTGGATTGGATGTCTTGTACATGTATGGACCCGTACTTTCTGGCCACTTGAACCAACCTGCATGTTTTCCTACCTGCAGTGCGTCATTTACAAAAATGTGTCGCCACATCCGTGTCACCTATTTGCTTAGTAAAATTTCTTCTGGAAATGTTAGAAACCACGGGTCGTGGTATCTCGTTGACCTCGTTAGTGGTGGCGTGAAATCACTTCATTGCCATAGCTTATTAATTACTAACGCATGATTAAACTACCTTTAAAAGCCTGAAAGTGTCTCTGTAAATGTGTGAGCAAAAAATTGGCAATAAAGAAAGCTTCATTAATTTTTTGTAGCAAAATGAGCAAATCAAAGAAAATTATATGTTTATTCAAAATTTTTATGAGATGGATGTCAGTGAGTGCACCAATTTCTCAAGTACTTGATTAGTTGCCCTTTCAACGGCCTTTTGAAGTATTGGGCACAAAGTGCTTCTGGAGGAAATCGTAAGAAAATGGTGACGATCGGTTGATAAGCTACTTTTCAGAAAGTGGAAGGTCTTTGTAATGACTGATTTGTTATGCAATACAAAGTTGCCGTAAGGCACTTTTTAGTGGTTTCGGTCGGTAGGAGTGGGCTCATCATGAAAAAGGAAGTCTTAACTCAAGGAAATACTCGACTGCTAAGTAAAGAAGAGAATGTCTGCAAATCTGTTGACACTTTGGGAGGCTAGCGGATTGTACAAACCAAAAATAAAAAATATGAAAGAAAGTATACGAAAAAGAGGTAAGCCATTCAAAACGAAGAAATTGTAAGCAATGCATCGTGAAAGTTCACTCACAAGTGATGCCATAAATAACGTGTCTCTGATTTCACTGATTTGTTTACTATTTTCGTTGAGAGATTGCTGGCCTGTCAGGGCATAACTTGCAGAGCAGAGTTGCGCCCATTTCTCTACAGAAGTATGCAAAATCTCTTAATGGAGAGTGGTTGAACTGAAAAATGTATAATATATATACATGCATAATAACCATATAATAATACAAACTGAGATTTTAGTATTTGTAACCGATAAGTGGAGGCGTAGGGTTTCACCAGAGACATTTTGCACAAACGTGGCTTCTCGTCTTTTAAGTGGCAACTCAAAAGTCTGCAACGCGTGCGCCAAAAGTGAAACCGCAGCCTGCGTAGGCGGAGTCGAGGGCGGCGAATAAATTGCAATTCAACTCCTGGCTGAATTTGGCACGGAAAACCCAACCATCCTTGGGGAACGATGCTTCCCTGCTTTTTACGTTGCTAAGTTATCCCCATCAAATGAGACAAATGAATATGCTTACCAATTTAGGCGTTCAATCTTGAGAAAGTGGGTTTAATGTCCAGGTCTTGTGTTAGCATGTCTAAAAACTGTCACTTCGGCAAAATTGTAAACAGACGCATGCTAACGAAAATATTGCCAAGAGTAGAATAAAAGGAGCAAGAAAAATATTTTAGCTAATTTTTGCTTATTTTGCACTTTTCTGACGAAACACAATGAAGCCATCGTAGGGCAATTCATTTTGGTTTGGACAGCACACGCGTTTTGCCCTTAAAATTTCCAAAATTTCTAGAAGGCAAATCTTTTCGCATAGTTTTTATTTATTATTTTATTACTAGAAAAATGTCACATTTGGACAAGACGCGGGTAAGCACTTGTCTCCATTCACCGGCCTGATGCAAACCTTTTTGGGAGGAGGTGAACATGCCAATACACTTCCTGAGGGAAGACTGCACAAATTCTAAAATCTGTCGATATATGCTTAAACAAGCCTGGTATTTTAATCCGAAATATTTTGAAAGGAGTATTATAAGTTCACGTAAAGAATGAGTTTCTTCTCAACCTGTAGGTTTCAGGATTGCACTTCATGAGTAGATTTGTACTGCTCGAAAAAATTTTACTCATCACAATAAACATGTACTTTTAATAATATTTAAAAACTCACGTCGAATGCCACTCGAAGTGATCTGTCTTGGGCAAATTTCACTGTCATTTTGTAGGAATTTTGTCAAGAAATGGCTTAACTAGCAGTCCAATTCGAGACAGGGGTAAGTGAGCGTAAAATAATGCCTACGCTGAATGTTTATAACGCTGACTTACAAAGTACCTGTTAGGACAAACCGTTTCTAAACTAAATTACGACGAAAACGAAGTAGAATTCTGAAGAATGGTTGTAGTCTGATTGGATGAGTGAGGAAAAATCGAGTGTTCCCTTTGTCTGCTGCCTCGTGGATAAGTGCTATATGTTAAGGTATATTGTAAAACCTAACCAAATGAAACAATTGAGACCCAAAGTGCTACTAATTATTTGGCGATTTTCAAATCCCAAAATTAAGCTTAAAACAGTGGGAAGGCTACCCTACAATTCGATGTCAAATTAGATTTTGGGAATAATAGCACGTCAAGTGTTTCTAATTCAAATGTGAATATCATCGTACATATTCAAATGTGAATATCATCGTACATATTCAAATGTGAATATCATCGTACATATTCAAATGTGAATATCATCGTACATATTTTGCCATTTTTTCCAAGAAAGCAATTGTAATGTAAGAAAAGAGTGTGCACTCCTTCTTACACCTTAAAAGTTGCAAAACAAGCACAGATGCACGTTCAAAAGACCATTGAATACTCTGCTCCCTTGTGCAACACCGTGAATTGGTTAGAGTAGGTACTGCACACGAATTGCCCTTTCGACGTTTTTTATAAACCGCAAACTAATGCAAATGGCACATTCTCCAAAAACTACACATTCTGTGCAAATGTCTGTTCCACTCACCTAGGCATGCTGGTTGTTTCCAGGCAAATGTGTAAATCAAAACGATGTAATGGTGGCAAGGGTCTTCAAGAGGTAGCATAATTTAAACAGCTGCTTTGCGAGGTATTCATTTTGATGACCGTTTCGAACGGTCTGGCAAATCAGGATATAATGCGATGCGGAATCAATCTCAAATCAGCGGCCAATTTCCACCACCACTTTCGAAGTGTAGTGGTGAGTATACAGAGAACATTAGAACGACTACAACTGTACCTCGAGTACTTTAGCCTCTACATTTAGCTTTCATTTATGTGTTTCTATTTCACAGAAACATCAAGGAAGGGGTGAGCCAATGTTAATATCTTTCAACAACTAACAATTTTTTGCCATCTTAATGAATAGAAAGTGTTTCCTTTACAAAGGAAATTCTCTAACAGTTGATCAGCTTGCGCCACACGCTGGCATTTAAAGTACCAAAATAGGAAACTTGCTCAAGCAGTACATATTGCCCCGTTATCCAATACATCTCAAACAAGAGGAGCATTTAAATCATCGCGCTTTTTTACGAGATAACAAAATGGATGTGGTGAAGTCTCTGGGAGATAACATAACAGTAAACATTAAGATTACTTGTACTTTAGGTAGAAAACCAGATGGTGCTTTTGATAAGCACGTACGAGCATACCGCGTAGCTTAAGTTGCCAACACCCTCAACGTGCTTATATGGCAATGAGCCAGAGAAAATGAACTAATCGTCAGATTAGTCTGAAACTGTTCATGCAAATTTGAATAAAGTGTGGAACAAAACTTTTGTTCTAATAAAGCGCCATGCTAATTTGGAATATTATGAACAAAGGTTGGTCAAAACTAGTCAGCACAGAGTAATAGAGAGAGGGTACGAGAGGCCCAAGGGGACTCCCCCAGCATGCAATAAAGTCTCTCAAAACCAAACTTTTTGAATGTTTATATCTATGATGCCTTGTTCCCGAGTTAGAAAATGTTATCATGAAACGCGTTCTGTGCCAACAAAATTAAAATTTTGGTGAAATAGCTAAAACTGAATTAATGTTTCCATTGACGAAGGGGACACTTCTCGTCGTCATCGTAGCTGTTTACAATGAATTAGACATGCAAAAAACTACAGAAATGCCTGAGTAGGATAAACGGTCTACTCATAAACGTTGCAAAAATAATATTTAATGGGCTTTTCTGCAAAAGACTCACTCAATTCTCTCTTAGATGTAAAAGACAACGCCTATTACGTTACAATCTCTTACAAGTGATTAGCAAAAGGTCGTGTCACCACTGTTTTACCAATTGACACTTTCATATATCTGCTTAAGCATTAATACTTGCCTTTGCTGGTTCATTTAAAGCGTTGTAAGTGCTAATATAAAAGAAAGAGGACTGCCTTGAACAACGAATAGAACGTACACAATGCAAATTAGTTATTTATTAGCTTTTGTTTGGATTAATGCGTAGAATAATCATACGAAAAGTGAAAAAAGGAAATTAGGAGAAAATGAACATTTAGGCATGTCAGAGATAAGGTAGAATGGGGTTTAGAATGAAAAAATAACCTATGGGAAGTCTGGAAGTCCAACACTCTGATGTCGGACATTTGATCCACTTACTCTACTGCGTGTTTGCATCAAAAGCTAAAAGAGGATGATTGGGGAAATCGTACCCATTGTTGCATAATCCGATAGTATATTATTTTTCATTCTTTCATTGAATGAATGGTTAGTGCATTTTTCTTGGCTGGCGGGTGCAAAATTGTAGCGTCACGGGACTCCCTGAGGACGAAAGAAGACAAAATACTCGGGCAGAATATATATTCAGCGCAGAGAAGGTGTCTGGACTATTGGCATGGCCCAAAAGGCCAGCCCACCCAGCGGGGCACAGGAGGGCTGATTCCAAGTACAAAAGTGGCGCCTCACCAATACCGAGGGATAAACCACTATTGTATTACAAAATACTTCCTGAAAGACTGATATACCACAATAATATACACGCGGTCAACGATAGGGTTTCAAGTTTCGTCGTTAGATTGTGTAAATAGCATAAATCGTCTATCAGTTATCCCTTCAAGCTCCTACATCCTTCCATTTATTAAACTCCTGAGTAAGTGGAGGGTAGAGCCTACAATCATCAAGCTACAGCCTGAAAATTAAATGCACCGCTCTCTTTATGCACAAATTTGATTCCCGGTACCGATTTGGCTAGCAAGCAAGAGCCATTGTAATAATAGAGCCTTTGTAAAAATTATGTACTTGGGCAAGACTTTGCTAAAAACATATAGCTTATTTGTCAAAATATCGTGAATTTTAATCTGGAATCGTTTCTCAACAAACCACAGGCTTGCAAGTTCCACTCATTTGAAACATTTCTGATTTTTAAAGTAGAACACTTGTTCTTAGCCACCTGCATTCCTGCCCCACTTTTACTTCTCAGCTGCGTGCTGCATATTTAATTGTCTAGGGTCAAGAAAAAGCGCTAATCATTGGAGAGTAAATTTTAGAGGTGTTCAGAGGCTGAGAACGAGGATGAATATCTCTCCCCATCCCATCTATTCTCATCGTGAGTTGCAGATCTTCTTGTATTACCAAAGATGGGGCTTGCCTCGTAGTCAACAATTATGTCTGTAGTCTGCTTCAGACATACACAAAGGAAGCATCATCTCCTGGAGATGAAGTGATTTACACCTTAAAAATGCGGGATGGGGTAATTTAGGATGAGGAAGGAATAGGAATGTGTCATGTGTGTACAATAAATGAAAGGTTTGCCTGTTTGACGAAAGTTGAAATACAAAAGCCATTTTCCATTGCCAATCGGCCCGTAAGTCAGTAAGCAAGCAATCTGGAGTGCGCGGTGCCCCTTTGTAATGTTTGTGAGTTAAGTGGAGAATAGCTTAAATCACATTTGGTAGGTTAATTAATTTGGACGAGCGTTCAAGATATGTTGCAAATGATGCAGCGCATACTGCAGGGAACAGGTAGACAGGCAGGAAGTGTTGAAACACATCCACTTTACAAGGCTCTACAAGTTTCGACATGTCATTGCAAGAAGCGATACCAATAATCGCCAAAGAATTCGGTCGGTTGAGGGGCTTTACTACACGAATAGTTTATTTGTCCCTCAGAAGATGGCTTTTAATCAACACTATACTACTCCTAAAGCTGGCACAATTCAAATATAAATTAATACTTGGGGTTACATCTACCGCAGAGTTAGGCCGTAATGTATGTGGGTGCACCGATTTACATCTGCACAATCGCACTACACTAGTGCAAATATTCCGCACTCATTTTTATCCGAGGAAAGGCCCTGACCTAGTTTATGTATTGCAACCAAGATCTACTTTCAGTAATGCATCCACGACCCAGTATCATAGCTGTGTATGGATGTGACAGGCAAAAATGTGGCACAGAAGTGCTAAATGGAAAAAATTCAGAAAATTTTATGTTGCGTCTTACTTCTTTGATATGCCAACTTACCGCAAGGCTGATATCTTGAGGAAAAAAAGCATTCACGTTAGGTGATCAGAGTAAAATAAGTGCACCTAATGCAATAATGAAAGGATGGATTAATTTTAACCTAAAGTAAATCACATCCCAATGTATTTAAAAAGGTGAAATTTTTGGTATTTCGAAGATGCCATGGGATGGAGAAGAGACCAAAGAAAATTCAAATGTAAGAAATAAGGGACCCACCAATGTTATGATTTCCACACAAACTTGTTGAGTATTGTACAAGTGATTTCATTCTTACTAATAAAAGTGAATTAGAACATGTACATAAATTATTACACTGGCTGAACTCCTTATTCAATTTATGAAAATAAATTCAAGCTCTTAAATTAAGACAAATTTGCTCATAATGAGGTTGCGGCTCATCAGCATCCCTAATCACTCCAACATGTAAAGTGGCTTTAAACTGTTAGCAGTACTTCACGCTAGACTATTTATTATTTAGGAGGATAATTCCCAATCATCTAAGTCAGTCACAGAGCACGTTCTACCCTCCCAAGTAACACTGGACAGGCTACTACTCAGTGTGAACGGTTTGAATGTGGAAGGTATATCAGAATAGATGTACTGGTGCTGTTGAATGTTGGGTTGGGTGCTCACCCGTTCTCATAAATACACCAATAGATTTATAGCATGAGTGCTGAAGGCTTAAAGCAACATAAACCCGAAATGTCCCCTAACTTATTTTACCTGTAAGTTTTCATTTCGCATTTAGGGAAAGATTCAATTTCACAACGTCCGTAGGCATAGAATCAGAACTGTTGTATATACTTTTTTAAATGGAATCGGTCTAGTTATGTTTTTAGTATCCCAAGACGTTCCTAAAGACAAAAAGAGTCACGGCACTAGGGCAGAATATGTATTGGTGCCACGCGGAATGGCTGGGGGCCTACTAGCACGGACAGGATGCCATACCTCCCAGCAAGAGCACAGAGTAAAAGTCTTAATTGCCCACGAAACTAAAGTGGAGAGCTAAACGAATAATCACAGCATTACATTTTACCTCTCATGTTTTCGTGCGCATTTTGTGTAGGCAATGTGATAAATGTCCTATTATCATGGTGTCAATTTCTACTGAAACAAAAGTAAGTAAATGGATTATATGAGGGTAGCAAGTTTCAAGTGTGACGAAACAGAACTTCCCGAATTTTTACGATAGCTTATGTCATTATAGATGGGTGACATTCACTAACCACAGTTTCGGAATTAACTGTTCTAAGAGCTTCTCAGAAGGCTATGCTAACATTATAATACCATTTATGTTAGTTATGTGACTAATTGTGTTGCGTAGGTACCCTTCCATCAATTATTTATTCATGCTATTGAAAGTCTCTTGTTCTTTTCTAAGATATTTATATTTTTTCGATGGTGAGATATGCATGTCAGATTTTGCATCTATTCTTTACATGAAAACATGTTGAAGCAATGTAGAACAAACAAATAATTTATAAATTATGCATTAGTGCAAAGGAAAAGCTGCGCTTGATGTTACACGATTATGGAATCAGGCGTGATGATGTTAGCCAGGTCGAAAGGCATCTAAACGTCTCGCATAAATAATTATTCATTATAGACAATGAAATCAATCGTTCAAAGTGGCCCCAAAGTGTTTGTCTTATCAGCCATATAAGACAGCTCCAGTTGTTTATTTTATTCTAGTAGCTGATCGTGTTTTTCGATGGGATTAGCTGTGGTTTTCAGCAATCCGTACACTTATGATGGCAAGCAATTTCTTATAACTACTAGCCGATGTCCTTAAATTCATAAAAAGGACTCCAGACAATTGACCACTCATTCACAGTGGGCCTCCAACTGAAAATGTCCATTCACTTATACATGCAAGTTGGAAATAGTCACCGTTTTGTAATTCCACGTGGCATAGGAGGGAGGGAGAGGGTCGGACTATAACATCAATTCATATTTGCTTGGCGACGCCGGTGATGAGGAATTCGCTTTTAAGTGGCGCCGAATTCTAACTTTAATTCCTACACCACTTTATGTGAACATTGAGAATTGGTTTGTGAGAAGAAAACTCTCAAAAAAAGAAAAGGCGTTTTATTTAGTATACAATGGACATTTGTCCTTAAGCAATACACTAGACGATATGTAAAGCTGGCATAAAATGTACGTGCAAAACGCCTGTTAGCCTGCCTTACAGTCGTTAAGAGAGAATGGTGATGCGAGAAAATAGTAAAACTAACAGTAT